CTTCTGTTGAGGGTAGCTGTACTATCTATTGTCGTAAGTGGCGTGCTTGCTGTACTGTTTCGATCCCCTTTGATCGGACTCCTTCCTCATCTGCTACTTGCTCAGCTCGCAGTCGTGTCGTTCAGCTGTCATTACACTACAAATGTCAGCACTGATCGGCACTAGTGAGAGCAACGATGTTAGAATTGAATACGACGCCGATATGGACTCCATAATAATGTTTGGAAGCCTATGCATGGCCGTAGCCACTATGGCCTTCGTTATATACGTAATCAACAACATAACACGGTATACATTAGCTATACCCCAGTCTATGACCAGGTGCACTTGTCGAAAAATCAAGAGTACTCGATATACGATGAATTCCCTACCATAACCCAGCCACCGTTCCAGCACGATATGAATAGCCGAGCCAGCCGGCTCCTGGAAGGCTCATCGTCGATGATGCCATTTGCACACTGGCTAACCTCTTCCTCGGTACATCAACTCAACAGTATCGATCTGTTATGTACTTCCTTCAGACTAGCGGCTACATACCTGAAGATAACCTCGTTGAAGGAAACCCCAGTAGTGAGTTGAGATGTATCCCCAGCGCCACGGCTGTTCTTCAGTGATTCCTGATAGCTCCTCATGCTGCTCCGTATGCCTGTCGTCTTACCAGACTGATGATGTTGTTACTGTACTCAAATGTGGTCACTTGTTCCACGATGAATGTGTACGCAAGTAGGACCCTGTGAAGGCCCCAGCCGGGCTGGTCAACTGTGAGTATGTTCCTCAGATGGATAGCTCTAGCCCACGTCCCAGCATGCCCATTGTGTCGGTCCTGTCTGTTGGTGGGTCTGCTGCTACTATCATCTCAGCCACCTGCCTCTCCTCAGCCGCTACCTCCTATAATGTGATTATAGCAGCTTGAAGCCGACCCTCTCCTCCTCCTAGTTGTCGTAGTGTGTGTATGATCGTATTAGACTAATTATATTTTTCCTCATCCAGGCATACCATGCAGCCTGTATCGGTTACCTCGTAGTAGCTAACTTTTTTCAACAACGCACGAGTGAGTTCAAAGTCAATGGCGTACCCGTGGGTAATCCTGAAGGTTCTCCT